CTTCCCGTGGTGGATTGGCCAATCGCCAGCGGTTCCACACGGCGCGACTTGTCGCCGGCACACATGGGCACATGGGCTGCAAAAAGAGCCACGAGAGACCAGCGCCGTCTTGCTGGCCTGGCCACTGTTGTTCTATCCCCAGGCAAGAGACACCGCGCGTCTCTGTAACTAAGAACACTTTTTATGCGAACGGGACTCTTCCTTTTTTTTTGTCAACAACTTGAAAACTGGATGTAAAGCAAAGCGGTTCGTCACCCGAAAGACGGGTGTGGGCTGCTGCGGCTGCCAAGTTTTTTGGCAGTGTGATCAAGCGGGCCCAGCAGCTCTGCCTGCCGCTGGGGACCCGCTGGGGACCCGCCGGGGACCTGCTCCTGCTAGGAGGGGGCCCGCCAGAGCCGGTCGCGAGCCAAAATGTCCCGGGCCAAATGTCCCTGACATTGGCCTCCGTGCGGCCGGGTCGCGCCGGGCGCTGCTCGACACTCGGCCGGCTCATCCCAAGTCGGGCGCGGGAGTGTCGATGCAGTGGGTGACGTGACGTTTATAGCGGCATAAAATGACATCTTCTGTCTGTTCTTTTCGGGAAGTGGTGAAGCGGTGAATAATACTGCTGACAAGGGAATACTGTCAGCTCTGAAAAATAATAAGCATTGTTTCAGATAAAGAGAACAAGTAGGACCATGGTGGTTGAAAACCGTTGTAATAGTTTCCTAGTTGTGCACCAATGCATCGATGAGATTTTTCATCCACCTTGTGATGTGATAGTGAAGTTCCAAAATTTAAAATGAAGAACACCTCATAAGTTTTCGAGTGGCGTCGCGTTATGTCATCGCGACATGACGCCGGCCTCGATCCAATCAACTCAAATGAAATTACCATCTGACACATGTCATCGTAATAATCTTTTTTCAAGAAATGGCCGTCTATACTCGCGAAATTTACGACATTTCTAATTATCTTTCCACGACTTGGACGCGACTACTGCTTTGGCTTTATTTTATTTTTTTGTCATCACTCAGCACAAGTAGTAGTCACATGGGAAACATCTCCTGTGCTCGTGTCCGAAAGCATAAGCAAAACCATGACCTTTCCAACAACTGCCGAAGCAGCGCCGACGTGTCACGCTCAGGCCCGGGGAGACTATAACGTCGTCGCCAGGAGGCTTCAGGCCCGGGCCCGTAAGCCCTATCGCGCGCGGGCCGTGAGTAACAGCTCGTTCCTGCGCACCAGACCAGGTGAAAATTGCCGGAAAAAGAAACACGACTTGCGCGTTTTAAAACTTACGGCGAAACGGCGGGCGCGCAACTGTTCTCAGATTTTTGTTTAAAATAAGCAGCAGCAGCAGCTCGTGCGCCAGCTAGCTACCAAGAGCTGCTCCGCTCATCACTCTCAGCAGAAAAGTTTATTGCCCGGTGTGAATGCGTGGAAGTTGTCTGAGTAATGGGAGGGCAGAGGAGGGGAGGAGGAGGGAGGAGCAGGACGGCGCGAGGGAGTTGGAGGCATGGGGAGGGGAGGGAGGAGGTGGTAAAATCACGGGATAGCCGGTATCAGCAGAGGCAATGTGATGGTTGGTCGGGGGCTCGTCGATTAACCAGCTGGACTATTTCTTTTGTTCGTTGGAGAGGCTCTCGTTTCCACTCCACCATGCCACGCGCACCGGGGGGGGGGGGGGGGGGGGGGCAAGGCTATCCAAAGGCACGTCGACTGCCTTTGACGTCCGTCCAAGAGAGAAACTTTTAACTCGACACAAAGTTAAGGCTCTTCTGGTTCTTCTTCCCCGCCGCCGCCGCCGCTGTTGGCGGTGCGCTCTTCTGGCCCTGCTTCGACAGGAGGAGGGCGCGCGGCGGGCGCGGGCGCCGAGCAGGGCCTCAAGAAGAATTGTGAAGGTCTCGCTCGGTATCGGGACGGCGTGTTGCAGCGGCAGAGCAGACTCTCACTCTCCCGCTCACTCGCTCACTCACTCGATAGTATAAGGAGCAGGTAACCCGGAAAACGATAAGGTGCGGCGCAACAAAATGAATGGGGCCCCCTCTGCTTTGGTGTTTGCTCGAGGAAGTGAATGCGTGTGGTGTGCGTGTGTTAAGAGAGGGAAAGAGGGGGGGGGGGCAGCGGAGTCAGATTTCATTTCATCTCTACTTTGACGCACATTTAACCTGACCAGTGTTTTACGTTTTTGTTTATTGTTCTGTATTTGGAGGGCTTTCGTTTCTTTAAAACGATGTCAGCTTCATGTTTTTAGTGTTTTAGTCAAATTTGGACAGATCTTTCATATCCTCCGGCCAGGTAGCTCGCGTGCCGCACTCGAAAAAAGGAATCAAGAGGGTATGAAGGACAGAAAGAGAGGGGGGGGGATATCCCCCCTCCCCCAGCAGGAAAGGTGCCGTGCCAATAACTCCGCCGCAACTAGGCGCAGCCCGGTTGGACCGAAAAATAAAACGAAATCAAGCGATTCGTCGATAAATCAATAACTCTGCAACTGCGATCGCTCTAGCTTCATAAATTTATAACATTTCGCGGAAGCCGGCTCTAGCGGCGCGGACAAAAGTCACTGACAGGTATGACAGCAGTGCGCCACGTCCACAGCCATACAACACGCGCGCGGTTGGCGTCGTTTTTCTAGTTGTTGTTGTTTTTGAAATAAAGTTTACGAGTGCACCACTTCGGCTCTCGTGAGTTAGAGCCGGACCAGGGCCGGGGGTCGGGTTCCCATGGTGCAAGGCCCTGCACCCCACATCCGCAGCGCTGAGCCCACGCGGCCCGCCGCCCCGCCCCGCGCCCGCGGCCCTGGGATTACTCGGCACCGCAAGTCGATTAACTCATGACGTGTTGAACCCGTGCCCGGGGTGAGGTATGGCGGGGCGGGGCGGGGCGGGGCGAACTGGCGCGAAGGTTCAACCCGCGGCGCGTTCTCGCCGGCTGCGGCTGGCGCCACCCGGTGTGGGCCCGGGTCGGGAGGTCGGAGCCCGCCCCGCGCCCCGCCCGGCCCTATCGGATCGCGCCCGCGCGGCCCGCGAAGGCAGTCATATTATCATCAAGGGGGAGACATTCGCGGAAGGCGGGCTGGCCGTGATAATGACCTTAATTCAAAACGGGGCGGCGGGACAACGGCGCTGCCGGGCCGGGGAGGGGGTCTGCCTCTGCCGTGGCGCGGCGGGCAGCGCGGGGCCAGCGCGGGGGCGAACGCACCCCGCTGCCGGACAACAGCGCCCTCTGGGTGATCCCCCGCACCGTCCACATCCCCCGCTCTGCGCCGCACTCCCCCCGCCCACAACGGGGGAGGCATGCCAGCCTGGATATGCGGTCAGGCCGAAACTATGGGCGCCTAACCGGCCCCGCCCT